CTTATGAGGTCGTGTAATTTTGCTGAAAGGTTCAATTTGACAATGCTGCATTCTGTGTTTCAGTTGTTTATCAAATTTCTGCCAATTTTCATCCATCTTCTACTCTTACCTGTTGTAGAAAAAGTGGCCACGTATTGTACTGTATTCTAAAGTTTGCTTGTATTTTCACAGCTGCTGGATTTTGTAGTTTCACCATTGATCCTAAAGTTAAAATGTTTGTTTGGCTATTTTTTGTACTTATATGTGTGTTTCTTTAAATAAGCTCCGGCAAAATTCTGTTTAGTTTAGAGCATTGTTGAAGAATTTGATGGGACAAAGCTTATGAATATGGACAAATATTAGGAGATAAGAAAAAGGAACTAGTAGCAAGATTTTAATTGGATGTGAAGCATTACTATTGATTGTTTGTATGTTTCTTTGTTAATTTATATTTCTAACTGAAAAAGTGTTGTAATGTTAAGATTATTTAATATTTAATGCAGATTTTATTTCATGCTCTTGTTGGGTATTGTGTCTATACTATCTTGCAAATGTATTTCAAGTCTATCTAATTGATTTATCTCCCAATGAATTTCAGTTGACATTCTTTCAAAGAAAAATGGGGAGGCTGTTGCAGCGACTGATTTGAAAACTAGATATGGCTCTCTGAATACTGAGACTGCTGATGCCTGTTTGGGATATGATTCACTCAACGGAGTTTCCTTGGATCAAAAGGTAACTTTCTAGCTTTTGCAGGTCTCTATGTTTTTCCTTCTCTGGGGTTGGGTTTCTTGAAAGATTGTTATTCAGTCAATCATCAATCTAGTTAGAAATCTATCAGCCAAATAAGAAGTTGGCATTTTTGTTGTTCTAGTAAGAACACAAATTGCAGTTTCCAAACTCAAAAAATTCTCTGCTTCTGGCAGTTTCTATACAAACTTGAAGCAGCAAAGCCTGATAAGAAATTGTTTTTTAATACAATTTATTTCCAAAGATATTTCAATTTCAGTTATCTTTTGGCCGTTTGCATGTAGCATTGACATTGAAGTGCTCCTGTTATTTTGTCCATCAAAAAAAAAAAAAAAAAGGAGTTTATGCAGAGGTTGCGAGAAATGTCAAATTCCAGAGAATTGAAAACTATACTTGTTTGAACTGCCAAGATGCTTTTGTATGATTCCTGAAATTGTGTTACAGGGTTGTAATGAGGAAACTGATCATGGTGTGGTGGAAACTATATTTTCTCCTTCCTTTCATGTATCTAAAGTCTCAGGCGGGGAAATTGCCAGTGGAGGTAGGTGATAAAGTCTAAGTTTTAGTATAAGTTGTAATGTCCCTTTGTTATTTCTTTTGCAATGCTTATGTGTGAATCCTATCTAGTTGATTTTGTCAACTTTTTTCGGAGTGGAGACCAGAAATTTCATCAAGAAAGTGAGATGGATTGCTCTCGGATTGATATGCTTGATGGTCAAATCACTCAAGAAATTGCTGAATCCACTTTTAGGGGAGATGAGAATTACAGTGACAATATGTTGACTTCAACAAATATGACATGTAATGGTAATATAGAAGTAGATACTCGATATTTGACCTGAAATTTGATACTCCAGTGAGCAGATGTTCCCTCTTGACAGAAATGTTGTGAATTTTATGTTCTAATGCAGATCCTGAAGGAGCCAACCTTTCCTCTGAAGTATCAGCCATATATCTTGCTATGAAAAATTCAAAGCTGGAATGTGTTGATGAGCATGGCCAAGAATCTATGTCAACTGATGTTTCTGTGGAAGATGATGAGTATGATGACTTTGATGACTTTGATCCTTATTTATTTATAAAGAACTTACCAGACTTGTCATCTGTGGTCCCCACTTTTCGGCCCATGCTGCTACCCAAACAGACCCGGAGTTGCCCTTCTACTACTCTTGTTTTGGACTTGGATGGTAAGATAGTTTTGGATGTTTATGACTCAGGAAATGGTTATTTAAAAGCAGTATCATTCATCTGTTGCTTATTCATGTAACTAGTGAAGATGTGTTAGAATGTCATATCAAGCATTTGCTGTTGCTCCTGTTTATAGGCTGGGGCAGTCAGTGACTTGGATTTCAGCTGGACCAGTAGGCTAGCTAATGAATAATGAAATTTAGTATTCTGGTGTTCTTTACTTTTTACTCATTGTGTTTCAATGTCAAGTTGTGAGAGCTGGTTTATGAATTTAATAGTTGGTTCTCATTCAGTAGCATGGTATTTGCTAGCTTTTTGAAAAAGGGCATATTCATGATTTGTTTACTCCTTTTAAATTGGACTGCATAAGCTATTGGCATATTGGTACATGAACCAATTTCTTGTTTTCCAAGTTTTAGTATTATGTTCAATTTAGGTTAGTTGTTTTAGGAAGTATGACCTGTTATGCTCCAATGTTGAATAACTTGCCTTTCATGGTTTACGTTCAAGATATTGATTAAATTATTTTGACTTTGCAGAAACTTTGGTGCATTCCACTCTTGAACCTTGTGATGATGCAGACTTTACATTCCCTGTAAATTTTAACCTCCAAGAACATACTGTCTATGTTCGATGCCGTCCTCACCTCAGAGATTTTTTGGAGAGAGTTGCCAGTCTTTTTGAGATCATTATATTTACTGCTAGCCAAAGTATTTATGCGGAGCAACTTCTAAATGTGCTTGATCCAAAGAGAAAATTGTTCCGCCATCGTGTGTTTCGTGAATCCTGTGTTTTTGTGGAGGGCAATTACCTCAAAGATCTGTCAGTTCTTGGTCGTGATCTTGCCCGTGTCATCATAATTGACAACTCGCCCCAGGTACTGTTCTGAATACTTCTCTTGAATAAAATATGTGAACAATTATGTTGTGGACAGGGAACACCCTAGAGATATTCTTTTTTTAAAGAAAACAATAAAAATAAAATAAATTACATGCGTTTTATGAATAAGCTTTGATAAATTCATGGTTCTATTATGTTATAACTATCTTTCATCATCGTGGTTTCAAGTAATTACTTGTTCTGAATGAATATCTTAAGTAGCCATGCTGGCGCACTTAAGTTAATAAAAAGCAACAATGAAGTTCTTTTGAAGTGTTGTCAGACATAAGGGTTTAAGTATATCCTGCAGACAGAAGTGAAATGATCATTGTTTTCCACAAAAATTGTTTGACTTCTATTTTCTTAACATGGTTAACGGTGTTTTTCTTAGGCATTTGGCTTCCAAGTGGACAACGGAATTCCAATTGAGAGTTGGTTTGATGATCGTTCAGATCAACAATTGCTTTTACTGCTACCCTTTTTGGAGAGCTTGGTTGGAGTTGAAGATGTGAGGCCATTGATAGCGAGGAAATTCAATATTCGGGAGAAAATAGCTGCAGCCGTTTATCCTTCTTTAAATTCAATGAGAGGAGATCCCTTTGAAAGATGAGACTTGATGTGAATTGGCAACTTCAAGTTATTTGGACAGATTTCATCCTGTACTTTTAGACAATTACTTTTAAATGATTTCTCTATGCTGAGAAATCTTTGCAAGACTTAAAAGGTTTGAAGTTAATGGTGTGGTTTCAACTGGAAGGGAGCAGGTATATGATCAATTGTGTAATCATGCATCAAAAAGTTGAAACGTTTTATGGGTTGATGGCTGCTAAAGTGCTTTATTGTTAATTCTTAGATGAGGATAGTTTGGAAATATTAATTTTATTTAAATAATTGAATAATATATTTATTATCTCATGGGCTAGAAAGTTATGAAAAAAAATTTGTTGTTGGAAATCTTCCTAATGCAAGTTGAGGACTTGAAAATTATGGCAGTTGAATTTTTTAAAATATGATTTCGCCACGGCCACATTGTTATACTACGATGTACGGATGTAGATTGACAGACGGAGCACTGATAAATCTATTTTACTTGCTCACTTTCATCTACTGTATCACTCTCTTATGAAGTTTGCTGCCTTGTGAAGGTATGGAAACAAATCTCGACATTGTCCAAAATGATATTATGTTAGATAAACTTCTGAATCCATTTTAAAAATAAGGTTTTTTATGCTTTCCTTTAAATATGCACTTTATTTTTTTTTTTTATGACGAGGGGTGTTTAAACTAGTTTACGTGTATTTTAATTAATTTTTAGGGATTTTGGAATTATCGGTTTTTTTTTTTTAATGATCGGGGGCGTTTGAGTTAGTTTATGCGTATCTTTTTTAATCTCTTAAGATCTTGAAACTATTGATTGAGTAAAAGTTCTAGTGACTATTTCTATTAACAATAAAAGAGAAATTCGAATTCAAGATTTCTTGAATAATATACTTAATAATCTTTATTGAACTATTTGAGCACGCTAAAGTAGTTTAAATATACACCTTTCATTTCCGAATAAATCAAGTTTTTTTTGCAAAATCACAATTCAAACGTAAGTTGAATCAAATGACAGCTTCTTTAATTGGTCAAGTCTTTTATGCCTTCTCTTGTAACATATTTCAATTTAACGAGAGTTCGTCATTCATTATTAGAATACATTCACTTTATTATTGATTAATACAACGTCCTCTAGATTAAGATTGGTGCAGCTGGGTGCATGTGACATGTCAATCAAATTAGTCTATGAAACTTAAAAGGAGACACATTATTATGCTATTGAGACGGCAATATCCGCAACCAGATTTTGTATAGAAGCTTTATTTGGTGTTAGCATTTACAGCCAAAATTTCGTTAAAAAAAAAAAAAAATTGCTACGGGATCTATCAAGACTTGGATAAATTTATCTTAAAATTCATAGACAGCATTGCCTTTAACTATTTTAAAAAAATTCTAGCAATTATAAGATGCCACGTCACTCTACAAGGATCAGAATACCTCCATCGTGATCGAAATGACCATATTCACGTCAGCATCACACAATCGGCATTTTCTCAGTTAACCATAGTAGAGTCTTATCTAACTATGGTTAAGTAACGGTCTATAATATAAATAACCCCAGACTCGCGCCACCCATTCTAATTTTTTTACTCCAATTCAAATTTTCAAATCAAGCGTTCTTGCTCTCTCTCCCATTTCAATTTCTCCTCCTCTACTTTCAAAATTCTCTCAAGTCTGCAACCATGGTATGCCTACATTTTAAAAAACTTAAAATTCAATCTCGTTCAATTTCATATGTTCTTATTGCTCTTCCGATTAATATTCACTTTATTTATCAATTAATATATATATATATATATATATACAAAAATCAATAGCTCAGTTGCTTCCTATTCTCATATTCTATTTGTTGTTTTTGTTTTCAGGTTGTTGCACAGAAAGTGAAGGAAGCGGAGATCACCGAACAGGACTCCCTTCTTCTGGTAATCAAGGATTAATTTAACATCATATCATCAAATTTTTATGCAGCTCTCCTAGTTCAAACAATCTGTATATAAATTGAACTTGGTTGTTTGCCTATTTTTTTAGCTAAAATTTTAGATGTTTTTAAATCATTCAACGTATTTGATTGATTCTGTTCTTTTTATTATTGATTTTGGATTTTCTTCTATTAAACACCACAAGTTAAACACTATTAGGTAAACATTTAACAAATTTGATCGCTCTTGGAGCTTCTTGCTTTTAGATCTTGTTTGTGAAATCATTAATAATTATATAAACTTAGGATATGATAATTTATGCCTCTGCTTTTATTTACCGTAAGTAGATCTCATGTCGTTTTGATGAATTTACTCTCAACAGACAAGGAACTTGCTTCGTATTGCCATATTTAATATTAGTTACATAAGAGGCCTTTTTCCGGAGAAGTACTTCAATGATAAGTCTGTTCCTGCTTTAGGTAATCTCTTCTCATCAGATTTTCGTTTCTCTTCTAATTTGGATTATAATTTGAATATCATCTGCTAAAAAGTCTTTTAAATTATTCCAAAATTTATAGAGATGAAGATCAAGAAGCTGATGCCGATGGATACTGAGTCACGTAGACTGATTGATTGGATGGAGAAAGGCATGTTACTGTTATCATCATCTAAATAAGTTCCTAAATCTTCATACGTTTTTATTTTCTTTTCAATTGTTCACTTTTTGTTCTCGTTTTTTCCGTACTTTAGGTTAACTTTATTTGTTATTATTTCTTTTCAGGTGTTTATGATGCACTGCAGAAAAAGTATCTGAGAACACTTCTGTTCTGTGTATGTGAATCAGTTGAAGGGCCAATGATTGAAGAATATGCATGTAAGGTTTTGATTGATCACTATAAAAGTGTAAAAATTTCAACTCTAGATGATTAGCGTAATTCCAGTGATTCACTTTGTTGTTGTGAGTTTGATTGGATTGCTTTCCCTCTTCTTTCTTTGGCTCTTGGGACATTTTGAGAGGTTTGAATGATTCGAACTTGTCTTCTTTTGCAGTTTCGTTTAGTTACTCTGGATCTGATAGCCAAGAGGTTTCAATGAATATCAATCGCACTGGAAACAAGAAAAAGGGAGGAACATTTAAATGTAACTCTACAACTGAAATTACCCCTAATCAGATGAGGTGGTCTAAACAAAATCTCTTGTCAAATTTCATTTTAATTCTGTCGTTGGCTTGTTTTAAATTCTTTTGTGTCTTTTGTTATCTGTGCCACAATTTTATTGTTCAGGAGTTCTGCTTGTAAGATGGTCCGTACACTGGTTCAGCTCATGAGAACTCTGGACAAGATGCCTGAAGAGGTAACTTACTTGGAGGCTTGTTTATACCTAATAATATGTTGAAATTTTGTTGGATTTTGAATCTTTGATTCTGCATTTTTTTTTTCATGGTTGAATTTTGATGGTCATTTTTCTTTGTTGCATTTCAGCGTACTATATTGATGAAGCTGCTCTACTATGAGGATGCGACGGTATGTCCATTTAACTGCTTTAATTTTTATTGTTCCAGGTAATTGTACATGTGATTGCTATTCCAGTTATGATTCATACGAATTTCTTTAGTTCCTAAATATGAGGTATATGAAATAGAATTTGAATTTTTGGGTTGGATGGCCCATACTGTCTGGAGTTGGAATGCTTTACCGTGACAGAAATTTCCTGAGACTACATATGCTTGGTAGTGCGTGTAAGTTGCATGAAACTTCTTTGTAGGCAGGTCTATTGCTGGGTAACATTTCTTGCAAGTGCTTTTAAGTTGCACGCAAATCTGAATTTCTGCATCAGGTCTTTTGCGCTGACTATATTTTGAGAAAAGATTATACAACCTTTTTCTCCTTTTTCCTGTGTATTACATTTATTTTAGAAAAATGATTAGTGATACAATTATCTGATCTTGTAGCCAGTGGATTACGAACCTCCATTCTTCAGAAGCTGCACAGAAGAAGAAGCTCGTCATCCATGGAACAAAAGTCCTTTGAAAATGGAGGTTGGGAATGTCAACAGCAAACATTTTGTGTTAGCTCTCAAGGAAAGGGATGAAGAACTCTGGAAATGGCTATGATTAATTATAGTGTATCATAATTCAAGTCATGTTTCTCATACTTGATTACTTGACAGGTAAAAAGCGTGCTTGATCCTTGTGAGGATGAAAATGATGATATGCAAGATGATGAAGTGAGCTTAGGAGGCGATTCTTTAGAAAGGGAGGAGTCTTCTGATTCTGACAGTGAGGTGAAGTGACAATGTTATTTTTATGCTTATGAATCTGAGTATAACGTACACTAAAATTTTTGAGTTGCGTTGAAAACACATTATTTGTTTCAGGATAATTTATCACAAAGGGATCAATACATGGTAGCGCCAATCGGTAATTTCATCAATAGCTTCGACTACGATTTTCTTTGTTCCATTCACTCAAAACACTTTTTTGAGGGAGTTGCTCGTGGAACTAACAATGGTTATCGTGACAGATAAGCAACAGCCAGAGGAAGATAATGGCATGGCTGATGAAGGTACATTTTGAATTTAAACAGGACAACCTTCGTGTGATTAAGTCAAAGTGGATGGAATTTTTATTAACTTGGTTTTTTCATTTTTCTCCTTCATCCTTATTTAAATCTTCTATAATTTTCTAGTGATATCTGATTTATTAATGCGCTGGGTCCAATTATACGCTGCACAGATAATACTCAGGACCCGGAGGAAGATGAACAACAATTGGCCAGGGTGACGGACTGGATCAAGGGCCGTCACCTTGATACTGTAGAACTTACTGATGTTCTCTCGAATTTCCCAGATATTTCAGTGGTAAGAGCTTCTAAGTTTTCATCTTCTAGGTTCCTTTTCCGAGTATTCTGACAAAAAAGATACCAGTGCAACTAGTTAGATTATCCATTATTAACCCAGCAGATTCTTTAGTTTATCTCCTTTTTTAAAATTTGAACTCTAATGACTGAAGATTTAACGGTTTAATGCAGGCTTTGACTGAAGGTAAATGCGGGCTCTGATTCATATTAAAGTTTGAACTAGCGAAGACTTAACTGTGCTGCATTTTTAGTTAGTAAACAAGTTTGCTGCTGTTTTAATTTTCTTCTGAACACATCTCAGAAATAATGGACAAGCTTGTGAAAGAAGGTGTTTTATCGAAAAGTGGGACGGATACATACACGATAAACAAGCAAGAGGTTTTCTGTTCTTTTATTTATTTATTTTTGGTATGGTAATCGTCATTAGCTACCTTATTCTGGCTCACACTTCTTATCTTTGTGCAAATACACCAGCAGAAATTTGACCATGAATTTAATGTTGTGAAAGAAGAAATGGATGGCGTCTCAATTAATGAAAAATCTCCCAGTGTAGAAGATCGCTTATACATGAAGGTAAGAGACATTTATATGTATGCTCTTATGAGGTGCGATATGTGGTGATTTAGAGTTGACTTGTCCTTTAGTAGCAGTTACAGTCTTGGTTAATTAATATTTTGTTTTAGCATGCCTTTCACTTTGTAGAATTTGCAGGTTGACTGCTTTCGTATCAACCATCATAATTTTGTTAATTTAATTTCCTAGGAACTTAGGATAGCACTTTTCTCATGTTACGCCAGTTTAGACAACATCATGTCGGATGTTTGGATATTACGTCTACATTACATAAGCTGAGCCCTGCCATTGTTAACATATCAGGCTTTGTATCATGCTCTTCCAATGAACTACATAACAGTCACAAAGCTTCAGAACAAGCTAGATGGAGAAGCCAATCAATCTACCGTGCGCAAACTAGTTGATAAAATGATCCGAGATGGTTATGTTGTAGCCAAAGGGAACCGTAGGCTAGGTATGAGCAGTGAAATTGACAACTTCTTACTTGACATAATTTTTAAGGATTATATATCTCAATTTAATTTCTACAATTTATCTTGATCTTGAAACAGGCAAGCGTGTAATCCATTCCAATCTGACTGAGAGAAAGCTAATGGAAGTCAAGAAAGCACTGGATATTGATTTTATGGTCAAAATTACCTTCTTAAATCTGCGTGCAAATGTAACTCCCTCTTCTTAATGTGTTGGTACAATTCTTCTCTAATTATTATTTTTATTTGTTTCGAGCAGAACATGGATACTGTTGAGCCACATAACAAGTCCAACCATCAAGAATTCCAGAAAATGGGTATCTTGACCAATCCCTTATAGATTCTAGAGTAAAAAAAATATGGTTCTTTTCCAATTCTAAATGTTAGAAATGACGAGTACAAAATGTTTATTTGATTATTAGGAAGCAAACACATTGACACGTCCACATGTGGTGCCCTTCACTCTATTGGATCAGATCTCACACGCACAAGGGGAAGAACTGAAATTCAACAAAATGGTTCAATCAGGAGTGAGCAGACTATCTCAAAAGGAAGGGAGCTTGCCCTTGGTAACACTCCCACAAGCAGAGCTGAGGTTAGTGCGGTGAAGTTCATGATTTCTAGTGACGATTCTCCTATGATTTTAAGTGTCTCAGCTAATTGATAGATAATCTACTCTTGGAATTGTGCAGCCTGTAGCGTCAAGGGAGAGTTTTGCACTAGGAAATGAGAACATCAAAGCAAACGGAAGCACAAGTTGCTGTGATGAGACAGACAATGTTATTGGTAGTAGATCCTCCCAAGATAAGAGATGCAGAAAAACAAGCACGGTATTCTCAATTTCTTGCTATGAATAGTTTCGTTCCTGAAAGATTGCGGCTTCATGGATGTCGTAAAGACCATTTTTTCTAATATATTAGGCTTTTTGTTACTTTTTTTTTTCAGGTTAAAGAGCCTATCCTTCAATATGTAAAGCGTCAGAAATCTCAAGCTGCTCTCGTTTAAAAGGCTTAAGAGTGTGTGATACTACTGGGCAACCTTTATTCAGTTATATGACTTCCTATTCTTGAATATGGACCATAAAATGGCAACTTCTTTTAGACCATAGTAGCAGAAAAATAAAATGTTATAAGTTGGACACTTTACATTGTTTCTTTGCTGTCTGATTTCTGATGTTGTTTTGAGGAGTGCTGAATATAAAAATGATTTCTGATGAATCTAAATATGAAAGTATTCTCTGTAATTATTGAATTATTGATTTATTAAACCATCATTAGATGGTTGATTGATCAACTATAAATTTTTAGTATATTATTTAAGAGGTTTTAAGTTTGATTTATTTCGATTATTGATAGAAAATTATTAAAAATTTATTTAATCATCAACTTTAAGATTTCAAAAAAATAATTGATAAAAGGTTATCGAAGGTTTATCCTATCATTATGTTTAAGACAGTAAAAGATTAATTGAAATATCGGAAACTAAACGGATTCCACTGGTTAAAAAAAAAAGAATTATTTATTTTTTTGGCTGTCCGATATTAAATGATTTGATCAGTGGAGATGCTCTGCGGCTGCTTTAAGCCTTTAACCCGTGAGCAGGCTTGTCTTGTGTGTCACGATTCCTTGATCTTCCCAAAAAAATTGGCCCCAGTAAGATTATTTTATATTTCTTCTCATTAAGTGAGGCATCATATCGTTTCGATGTTAAAGCATCTTCAATTATTTTGTTTATTTTAAAGACAATATTTCACATAAATAAATAATATTTTATTATTTTTTAAATATAAAAAATAAAATTTATATTCAAATCTAATAAACTCTTTAAATTATGCTTAATAAAAAAGATAATTAATAATAAAAACTTATAATTTATTAAATAAAATTAAGATAGAGAGTAAGATTTGACTTTCTAGATGTAGAGAGTCAAACTCACTCTTTAATTTATATTTAAAGAATAAAGAATCTATCAGAGCATCTCTAATTGTACTCTTTATTTTAAAGAACATATTTTATATAAATAAAAAGCATCTTCATTAATTTTTAAATATAAAAAATATTTTTTTTTTAAATCTAATAGACTCTTTAAATTTTAGGAGAAAGAATATGTTTTTTCAAGAAAGAAACTTAATAGGAGAGATAAATCATAAATAAAATGCATAAAAACTTATAATTTATTATTTAAAATTAAGATAGAATGTGAAATTTGACTCTCTAAGAGCATCTTCAAATGACTCTTTATATGATTCAAACTCTTTATTATAAAGAGTTTATCTATAAAAATAAGAGTTCAATAGACTATTTATTTTTTAAATATAAATTAAAGAGTGAGTTTGACTCTCTACATCTAGAAAGTCAAATTTCACTATCTGTCCTAATTTTAAATAATAAATTACAAGTTTTTATGTATTTTATTTATTATTTATCTCTCCTATTAAGTTTCTTTATTGAAAAAATATATTTTCTCTCTTAAAATTTAAATAGTCTATTAGATTTAAATAAAAAATTTATTCTTTATATTAAAAAATTCATGAAGATGCTCTTTATTCATATGAAAGATGTTTTTTATTTTAAAAAGCACAATTAAAGATGCTCTAAATATGGAAAGTCAAATTCACTCTTTAATTTATATTTAAAGAATAAATAGTATATTGAACTCTTGTTTTTATAAATAAACTCTTTATAATAAAGAGTTTATGTCATATAAAGAGTCTTTTAGAGATGCTTTTAGACTCTTGTGTTAATGAACAAACCTTTAGGTAGCGTTTGGTTTAGGGTGATATAAGATTAATCCTGTAATCTTTGTTTAATTTTCAAGATTCTCTCATTTGGTTGTCAAGTAATAAAATATTACGTAATCTTTTATTGAAAATAATGTTTATTGTTGGTAATATTGGGGTAATCAGATTACCTTTTCAAGGGGTGTTATTATAAGATTACCGAGGTAATCTTAATTTTGACCCTATTTTGACCTTAATAATTTATCATTTCGGACATATTTGCCCCCATATGTCTACCAAATAACAATTACCCAGACCCCCTACATTTGAGAATTTAGCTAAAACACCCCCGCCACAAAAAAATTTAAAAGTTAACAAAATACCCCCAACCATCAAAGACCACCGCCGGCCGCTAGCCACCACCGCTAGTCGCCAGCGAAATTCATCATATCGGACACAAACCGTAGATCCTGCCGGTCTTGTGCCGATAAGCGTTTCCAGCCATGGATTGTGATCCTGGCCGAAACGACCCAGATCTGGCCGTTTCATGGCCAAAGATTTGGTCGTGCAATGACCATATTAACGGCCAGATCTACCTTTGAACGACCAGATCTGGTCGGATTAGCCTTATCGGCGTACGACCACGCAAGATCCGCTTGGTCGGCGCCATAGGGCGGCTTCCGGTGGTGGTGGTGGCTGCCAGCGGTGTCTTGGGGTGAGTGAGTGATTTTGTTACAATTAAGTTGTATATTGGGGTGTTTTATAAAATTTCAATATAGGAGGTTAAAAGAAATATTTAAAAAATATTAGAATAAAATATAATAAAATAATATTATATATTATTTAAAAATGAGAGTAATTTAGTAATCTACATAACATATCCACTCATTTATCTCCCACCCAATATATTATATAACATACCCATCAATTCTAATCCACTAAACATATTTCTTAAAGATTTCCTAGTATCTATCTTTCAGTAATACAACATTTCTCAATAATGTAACATTCTCTAAACCAAAGCACCCTTATAATAAAGAGTTTGAGTTTTTTTTTTTTTTTTTTTTTTTTTTGGTAATGCTCTTAGCGGCTTGTTGAGCTAATGCTGCAAACAAAAAACACTGACTTGACTGATTATAAAAAGTATGAACTGATGGGTATCAATAAAATTTCATCTTAAAGCTTTGATAGTTTGATTAATTATTTGTAACGCTCAAATACCCTGTATTTAAACAAACTGCTTATGAAATCAATCGGCCAGCCCATGGATTAGCCGCCACCACACATGTGATGATGCAGTAATGAGTAAACGACATTTCTCACCCAAGCTTGCCTTAATGACACTTTTTATCCAAAACAATTCAAAATACTACTTTCTCACCCAAAGTTTATATTCTGTTAATACCTAAAATATACTTCACTTTCTCAGTCGGTCGTTCGGCAAGTTATCAGGAGCCAGGGTAAGAGAGGTTTTGTTGAGTGGAGGCCACTGGATCGAATGGTGGTGATCGATTGAATATTCATCACTGAAATCAACGAAAATTAGCTAAGAACAGAAACCCTAACTTCACAATTGCTAGCAATCAACGAGAAATCAGATGTTGAAATAAGAGAGGTTTTGTAGAGAGAAGACTGGAGGTTTAAATAGTGGTGATAGAGATAATTTTTACCATCATAATCAGTTTGGGCAATAATAGAATATTAATTTTGGGTGAAAATTTTGTATTTTAAAATTTTTTGGGTAAAAAAGTGCCATTAGGACAAACCTTGGGTGGAAAAAGTAGTTTACTCTTGCAATAATTTAACCAATGACTGCTATGAGATTATAATATAATATCTTGAAACTTTTCAGGTGAAAATGTGTCATTAAGGAAAAAGTCGTTTATCTTACAATATTTAACCAAGACAGCTATTAGATAATGATATAATATCTTAACCAGATATAAGACTGTAACCACTAACCAGGACTATGATAGATTGGACTCGTGGATAACTCCACAATAGACTAACCCTAACCATAATTGCTGTGCTATGTCAAGCATTAGTTTTTGATGACATAAGTATGATGTGTCCTGTGTTTGGCTCGTGTTTAGAGTAAAATTCACATCGATGACGTATCTTATTTTTTAAGATGAATTTTATCTCCTTATAAAATAAAGAGAAATTATATTAAAGGAACAAATAGAGAGTGAGCTAAAAACTGCACATTTTAGAAGTGTCTCAAAAATTATCATTTCTATTTAATACATTTTGATGGATGGAATTACCCTTGATGACTAATCCCTAACCATTAATTAAAAACTTATGCTTCCACTCTAAAATTTCAGCTAAAACTTGATTTGTGATGTGGAGGAGCACTTTTTAACAGATTTCTTGATATATCAAGCTTATTAAATGGTTCACAAAGAGAAGAGTATTTTTGGAATTTGAAAGTTGTTTGAAATACAAAATTTTGATTATGTTACATATATGAATTGAAAACATGTTAAATAAGTTATTTTTGAAATGATTTGTTGTTGTTATAATTGATTAAGCTTATATTTCAATGAATATGTTGAAAATTGTGGTTTATGCGTAATTTGGGTATGGGTTTCGGCCAATTTTGGAGCTTCGGTCAGAAAATTGGTTGGAGGTTAAGACGAGTTTTGGTCGAAACCTATTTGTCGAATTCAGCCAACTTTACACTCTGATATGAAGTGTCGAATAGGCTGAAACCGTTTAAAACACCAAATTTGACTGTTTTGACATAATTTATCTATTCAAATCCAGCTGAAACCCCTTGATTTGCCAAATTTCTTCTTTACCAAATGACGTGCAATTTTTGGCCAATGTCCAATTCGACTAAATCCATGGGTTTTGACCAAAAAACGCAAGCCTCCATTTGCCATTTTCACTCTGATTTCCATTAAATCCACCCAAATTCACACAATACACAACAAGTCAACAATCACAATATCTCATCTAGACCAAAAACCCATTAAAAACCCTATATTTTGAACAAAACTTAATAAATAAATAAAACTAAACCCTAAAAACTCTTCATACCTGAAACCGTGTTTTTAAACTTGGCCTAACTCGGCCACAAACCAGTTCAACCGAGACCCGGGGCTTTCACCGGGCCAGATTACCAATTTTCCTATTCACCAAAAAACTCTAGAATTTGAGATGATGATCAGCGAATAATAGAAGGCTGGAATGTTGGGCTTTTGAAGAGGAAGGTCGTGAGTGCAATGGTGGTAACGAAGGTGATTTCTGTAGTGAATCGACTAAAAATTAAAAAAAATTT